TTAAATGAAACCACATGAAGTCACTTCAGACTGAAAAACAAAACCTTTTTAACAGAAAGCTTTTCCTTTTTTCACTGTTTCACACATTTTAGAATAACAGTGAAGATTTCAAGCTTTTCCAAGCTTCATTAAATTATTTAGTCAGCTGGGCTGGAGAAATATTACTGTGCCAAACCATGGATTTGTCTGGTTTGTTTTTAGTAAATTATGTAATTACATAAATACATACATACATAAATAAATAAATACGTTCACTTGTCATATTAATAATTGAAATTATTTTATATACAAATTATACAGTGTGGGTTTAAATGTTATACATTAGCCACTAAACAGTATTTTTATTCGATATTTTAAAATTCTGTGAAAGTGGATTAATAAGTGCTAAATAATATACTGTAAGTACCTGCTTAAAGTTTTTCACCCACGTTTCTGCTTTCTACTTTTGAAACATGATGAATTCTAATATTTCTTCATTTTTATTTACAGCTTCCTGTTCTGCAGCTTCTTATTTGAGTCTCCTTTTTTGAATTTTACGTTCCATCTTAAATGGTGCAGCAGTTACATTCTGGCACCTGAGGCAGAAAAGAAGATGTCAAGCTTGTAACAATAGAAGAATGCTTGTAAGTGGACATTGATTGAAGTGGACAATTGTGTAAATCAAATGCAAAACTATTTGAAGCTGCTTCGTGCGGCTCTGTTGCAAAGCTCATATCATTACGGTTTACCATTTGAAAACATTTTTGATTGACTTTTTGCTACAAAGTGCCACCGAATGCCCACTTGCTCCCCCTCCTTGTTGGCCTGAGGACCACTAGAAGGTGCTTCACGGCCCAGTTGTGATCTGTGGCCCAGCGGCTGAGAAACCCCTCTGTATAAGACACTGAACATGGGCTGCAGATGCTAAAGCTAACATGCCTGAGAATGTCTCACTGCAGGTGCTGAATCACCTTGATTAACACGACTTCCACAGAAATGCTACTGCTAACAGAAATGCTACTGTTCACAGAGACGCTACCGCTCAGAGACGCTACCGCTCACAGAGATGCTACTGCTCACAGAGATGCTACCGCTCACACAAAATGCTACCACTCACAGAGATGCTACTGCTCACAGAGATGCTAATGCTCACATAGACACTAGTGCTCACAGAGACGCTACTGCTCACAGACACTCTACCGCTCACAGAGACTCTACTGCTCACAGAGACTCTACTGCTCACAGAGACGCTAGTACTCACAGGAACACTGAGTGCTGGGAGAGTTTCTAATAAAGCAGATTGAGATCAGCAGTAAAAGCCTCAGAGCAGAGTGACCGAGTTTGACTGACAGCTCTAATAATCAGTTTCTCTGGAGTTTTCATCTTTTAATACTGAACACAGACAGCAGCTTCTACTGACCTGTAAAACTCTGTTAATTGTAATAAAATCTCTGTAATATTAATAATCCAAAACTTTTTGACAGGTTTCAGTTGGTTCATTGTCACTCTGAGTAGTTCTACAAGCGGTTAGAGACTCCCTTTAGGTTTTCAGGACAACAACACATCAGTGCATTATGTGTTCAAGGCAGGAGCCATCAGAGACATGACCATTAGCCTGCAGTTACAGCTATTTGCAGCGAAGGCTAGCCATTACAGCTGTTACAGGCTAACCCCCTTACAGCTAGTACAGGCTAGCTTATACAGCTAAAACAGGCTAACCCTTACAGCTATTACAGGCTAGCTTATACAGCTAAAACAGACTAACCCTTACAGCTATTACAGGCTAGTTCTTACAGCTATTAGCAGTGAAGGCTACAAATATTATAAGCAAGCCATTACAGCTATTATACGCTAGGTGTTACAGGCTAGCTATTACTGCTATTACAGGCTAACTCTTACAGCTGTAATAGGCTAATCTTTACAGCTATTACAGGCCAAGTGTTGTAGCTTTACAGGCTAGTTCTTTTAGCTATTACAGGCTAGGCATTACAGCTTTACAAGCTACCCCTTACAGCTATTACAGGCTAGCCACTACAGCTATTAGCAGCATGATGTTACAGTTATTACCTGCTAACGCTACAGATATTACAAGCAAGCCGTGTTAGCTAGCTAATTATTGCATCTGGTTGCAGAAACATTAGCTTTTTGTTGCTGTGGCTCATGAAAAACGATTAACTTCAACTCCAGTCAGTAGGGAGAGTCTCTTATAAACCCAATAAACCATCCCATGTTTTATTTTCTCAAGATCATGTGTTGCGTTATCGCCATTCTGATTGTCTGTCTCAGGTAACTCGTTTAAGACGCTTGCAGCTATTGTGGCGTTTCAGGTGAGTTGCAGGACGCTTTACTTTCTACAACTCAAGTGCAATTTAGTTTCATGTAGGTTTCAAGTAACCTACACAGTAAAGGCAGCCTTAGCTAGCGATGCACAGATACTGACCTTATTAGCCTTAGCTTTAGCATTAGCTAATCTGAAGGTGCAGCTTCCATCACTTAAACGTCCTCCTTTATCAGACATTAAAAAAACCTGCTGCTGGTGTGATTTAGGCCAGTGCTGGTAACAGAGATAATGGAGTCCTGTTGCTCAGGTACCCATGTGGAAAATAACCGCAGCAAATGGTTAAAACCAGAGTGGAGGGTTTCATGGGGTTTTTTTGCCTGAGGCACCAGAATGTAACTGCTGCATTATTTACGGTGGAACGAAAATTAGAATAAGCTGGCGAACAGAAAGCAAACTTCAGCCTCGTCATGGCCTACAAGTGCAACACGTGTAAAGTGTTATCAGTCCAAAAACAACAAGCGTCCTGCTGACACTGACCATCATAAGCTGAATGAATTCATGAGCTGAATAAGCCTCAGGCTCATGCTGGCTGTGTGCTGTTTGACTTCAAAAGCTGCTTTTCAAAAGACACCGGATTAATCAAATACAACGTCACAGAGATTTCTTCCTCCTGAGGACAGGATGACCTCTATCCTTCCAGAGGTAAATGTAAATGATATTGAACTGTTATTACTTCCATCCAAAGCTCAGAGTGACCAAAGCACAACATGCATTAGTCAGTGGAGGAATAAGGACAGATATTCAGCTTTAAGCTTTGATTATTTGCATTTAAAGCGCCGCTTATGACATTTATGTACTTTTATTTACCCAAAACAGCCATAATTAATTCCTGCATGATCATTCTCCAATCTCTCTTTATCCCTTACAATTAAACAGGCTGTTTTTGCTACTGTGCCTTTAAGACTGAGATATGTAATTGAGCTCTGTTCTGATTGGCTGACCTCATTCAAAAAGCAGACAGGGCTGAAACACTCCTTATAACTTCAGTGTGAATGGGTGGGGCTAAACTGCTGTAGGCTGAACAAGCGGCTATATGTAAATTACATTTTTTTGTGACATCATAAAGACAGTGAATTCAGAATGGTCAGTTTTTGCAGCTTTGACTGTATGGACTGGAGAGAAACATTACTGTTGACATAAAATAAAATGGCTACTTCTGCTTTGATTTCAAAAAAAGAAAGGATGAAATAAGCCCTTTAATGACAACCATCTAAATTAATTTCCCCATTTTGCAGCACTGATCACTGATTTATCATGATGAGTCAGTTTCCAAAATATAAATCAGCATGTCTGACCAACGCTAACCTCACTATGACCCACCTCAATGTCATCATTATATCATTATTATAATTAAATGATGATGATCATTATTCAGATTGTGATATCTCTGTGTGAAATAATACTCCCCATACCCCCTCACACCCCCCACCGGCTGTCCATTCATACAAACTACGTCCCAGTCCAAGCCTCTGATCTCATTAGAGAAGATCAGCACGCTCTGATCTCCACTTACGCTCACTGTACTCTAAAGCTCTATTTCTGTTTCTGTAATCTCACACGCTGCCCTGTGTCCCTGCAGTTAGAACCGACTCCTGCACCAAACCTGCAGCTGCAGCAACAGGCTACGTGCCGCACTAACACAACCCAACACAATAAAACACAAACTCAACTCAATCGCAATCAAACTCAACAGAATCCAATATAAAGCCAACCCAACCCAATTAAACACAATCAAACCTGCAGCTGCACCACTAGGCCAAATGCCACACTAACCACAAGACAACAAAACACAGGCCAACCAAACCCAGCACACCCAAACCCAACCCAATCAAATGCATCACAACTAAACCCATCGCAACCAAAAAACCCAATTAAACTCATCACAATCAAACCCACCACAAACAAACCCAGCACAATCAAACTCATCACAATCAAACTAACACAATCAAACCCATCATAACCAAACCCAGCACAATCAAAAAATCCAATCAAACCCAGCACAATCAAAAAATCCAATCAAACCCAGCACAACCAAACCCAGCACAATCAAAAAATCCAATCAAACACAGCACAACCAAACCCAGCACAATCAAAAAATCCGATCAAACCCAGCACAACCAAACCCAGCACAATCAAAAAATCCAAACACAGCACAACCAAACCCAGCACAACCAAACCCAGCGCAATCAAACCCATGACAACCAAACCCAGCACAACCCAACCAAACCCAGTACAACCCAACAAAACCCAATCAAACCCATCACAATCAAGCCCATCACAACACAACCCAACCCAATCATACCAAGCCCAGCACAACACAGTCCAGACCAACCAAAATCAACGCTAGAAACAGACACAAACTTAAAACCACAACCCAACACAACATAAGCCAAACACAAGCCCAACATCAGCAATACAATCTCACAAACAGCAGTCAGACCTAACACAACCAGACCAGACCCCGCAGCAGAACCCTGATCTAACTCAGCCCAGCACCGGAGACCCAACACCACCGCCATTTGAAGGCCACGCTGATCTACCATGAGCGTGCAGTTCCCGCTCATCATCATCATCACCACCACCACCATCATCATCCTACAGCACTGTCCTCTCTCGCCTTCAGCAGCGGCGGTGCGCTATGCCGGCTCCTAAAGAGCAGCGGACGGAGTGAATTCTGTACCTTCATTTCAGCTCCGGCCTGTAAAATCCTCCGCTCAGCTCTGAACGCAGCCGCAGCATCTCTCTCTCTCTCTCAGCTCTGAACGCAGCATCTCTCTCTCTCTCGCCGCTGTGTTTGGGGATGAGGGCATGACGTAATGGACCAGCGCGCCTCCGCCAATCCCCACACGGCGCGAGCTGATGTTATCTATAGCGGCCAATCACCTGTCGGAGCTGGTCCCGGTGGGCGGGGTTTGCGCGCCGGGATGGAGCTGATGATGTAAACCGAGAAGCGATCACTTTTAATTGATGAAGCTGAAAATCGATCACTTTCACATTTGCAGTGTGAATTCTTTAGTTATGACGGATGTATTTGTATAAATATCATCTATTTAGACTATTTTAGACTGGCCATGCTGTTTTTTTGGTGGGATCAGTTCAGCACTTTTCCTTAAAATTTCCTTTAAAATAAAATTAAGCAATTTTACATTTTACCAGTTTTGTTATCTCCTAATTTTATTAACCAGTGCCATCTTATGTGTTTCTCTGTTTCGATTATTAATATTTTTTATTATTAATATTTGTTTTCATTTAAAGAGTTTTAAAGCGATATCGGTGCTACTAAATTAAAGTAAAATGTAAAAATTCCCTATAGAGGAAATATTTTGGCATTTATTACGAGATGAACTTTCCAATAAAGCCCACCATGATCATCTTTAAACTCTGAAAACTGGAAACTGGACTATCACTTTAATACTGGCACTGTAATACAGGGTGATGATTCCTAAATGCTTCCACAGAGTGTCGAACAGCACACATTAAAACAGCTCAGCAACAGCTCATCACTTTTGGCACTATGGCTAATAAAGGTGCTGATTTTAGCTCTGGGATTTCTTTTTCGTGGCTGGGTTTGATCCCCTGTTTTCGTGTGCAGAGTTAATTTCTTTCTTTTTGTTGTGTAGATTCAGGCTATTGTTTTAATTAAAATAAAACTGTTACTCGCCTGTAGACCTCTAAAGTCATTCTGTAGTCGTTTCTCCTGCCCATATTAGGAAGTCCTGGTCTAAAGTGGTTCTCTGGTGGGAAAAAAAGAACGCCGTTATCAAACATTATCGCTATCTTGTCTTGTGGTGAACAGAAATGTTCCAAACCTGGTCCATTTTGTCCTTCATACATTTTCCCACTGGATACTCTGAGTTACAAGAGCAGTAAGGAAATGAAATATGAACACTGTTACATACACTACTGAGCGCTGATTGGTTAGCATTACTGCTACTGAACACTGATTGGTTAGCATTACTGCTACTTGGTTGGTTAGCTGATCAGCTCATTGGCTGAGTGAAGCGGTTCATGGTCGCTGATATCATGAACATACATTAGGCACCAGCTCTGTTAACCAGCTCCACCTTTCAGCTCTATAAACCAGTTCTACCAGTCAGCTTTATAAACCAGCTCCACAAGATTAAGTGACCCTTGTTAGTTCACCTCTACATTTAACCCATCCAGGCAGTGAAACACCACATACACACATGTGAATGCACACAAACTAGGGGGACAGTGAGCACACTTGGCAGCCCTATCCGCAGCACCGGGGCAGCAGTTGGGGGTTAGGTGCCTTGCTTAAGAGCACTTTACTGTCAGCTCAAAGGATTGAACCGGTGACCTTCCTGTTCCAGGGCTAGTTCCCCAACCTCCAGCCCATGACTGCCCCTAAACCAGCTCCACCATTCAGCTTTATACACCAGCTCCACCATTCAGCTCTATACACCAGCTCCACTATTCAGCTCTATAAACCAGTTCTACCATTCAGCTCTATAAACCAGCTCTATAAACCAGCTCCACCATTCAGCTCTATACACCAGCTCCACCATTCAGCTTTATAAACAAGCTCCACCATTCAGCTCTATAACATTTCATGACAATCACTGCCAGTCATTTAGAAGCAGCAGGGCGACATCTAGAGGTTCCAGTCTAAACTGCCCTCTCACATATAAAAAGCAGTGATTCATTAAGGCTGGCTGTGCGCATGTATGCCTGGAAAATGTGAGTGAACCAAGTGCCCATGCGCTGTAAAGTTAAATCAGGTCTGCTATGAGTTAATAAATCTGCACACCATTAAATGAACAGCAGACACTTCTGTTACAAAGCGAACAGCTTCCACCTGTTGTAAGAAGCCCCCTTATCTGGGATAAGAAGTGCTCTTGTCTGGTGTATGAAGTCCCCTTATCTAGGGTAAGAAGTGTCCTTACTTGGGGTATGAACTCCCCTTATCTGGGGTATGAAGTCCCCTTATCTAGGGTAAGAAGTGTCCTTACTTGGGGTATGAACTCCCCTTATCCTGGGGTATGAAGTCACATTATCTGGGATAAGAAGTGCCCTTATATGGGGTAATAAGTGCCTTATCTGGGGTATGAAGTCCCCTTATCTGGGTAAAGAAGTGCCCTTATCTAGGATAAGAAGTGCCCTTATCTGAGGGCAGTCATGGGCTGGAGGTTAGGGAACCAGCCCTGTGACTGGAAGGTTGCCGGTGTGTGTGTGTGTGTGTGTGTGTGTGTGTGTGTGTGTGTGTGTGTGTTTCACTGCACGGATGGGTTAAATGCGGGGAGGTGAAAATCCCCCGTTGTAGGATTAATAAGGGTCTTTTATTTATATAAGAAGTCCCCCTATCTGGGGTATGAGGTCCTCTTATCTGAACTGGAGAGCGAACGTGGGCTGAACAGCAGGACACATTTACTCACATTTGTGATAAAAAATACTCCCCAGTTCAGAGACAAATATTTATTTACTGGTCGTGGAGATGGTCATTACAGAGGTTTGATTAAAACCCCTGAGAAACAGACTCCTCACCGCTGTAGCTCGGTGATTAGTTTACTCTAATGTAGAAATACGAATTAAATAGGTGGACCTTTTCTCCATAATGAAGCGCAATAAGCAGATATCTGCTTAGGGACGTGTGATGTGATGTCAAACACACAGATTCGCTCCGCTCCGTCTCAGCTCTGCTAAACTTCCTCACCGTTCAAACGCGGATTTTTTGCGGAAATGCTCCGCCGTCTGAGCGCAGCTCCTCTGACGCGGAGATGCGCTTTCAGACGTAGGATGCGCGACACAGTCTACTGGACTGAGCCCCTGGGGCACAGCGGCAGACGCCCAGGGTCAAACAAAGTTTTGTGCATCACGCTTTGGCCAAGTCAAACTAGCCTTTCTGTCCATGTTTGAGGACTTGCCCGACACGCCAACTGCTCTCCTACTAACCGCACTAAGGCTGAAGGAACATTTGTGAAGGAGGCTAAAAACAGTGACCCTGTCGTTGCACATCACTAGGCCTTACTGCTTTACCTCAGCTAAACTGCGCCTATATCAGGTCTAAGATAAACCTCAGCTAAACTGCGTCTTTATCAGGTTTAAGATAATTAAACTGCATCTTTATCGGGTTTCAAACAAACCTCAGTTAAACCGTATTTTTTTGAGGTTCAGTTGAGGTTCAGATGTGGCTCAGATGAGGTTCAGGTGTGGCTCAGATGAGGTTCAGGTGTGCTAAAGGGTGAAATGGGTTCTCCTGGACAAAATAAGGAACTGACTTATGTATATTATACTTCAAAAGTTTGTCACCACTTAAAATATCACAATCAATATTTTCACTACTATCAAGCAAATACGGTTCCAGAAACATATATAAAGTGATTATAATATTACACTCATGGTCACAGGTTTTCAGCAATTTAATTACATTTTTGTGTCCAGAATGATGAACAGAGCTGTAGAGGGTTCTAAAATGACTGAGAAATCTGTAAAACAAAAAGAATAAAGTTTTAATCAAATTAAAATCCAGAATAAAGTTCTAATAAAACTGAATATTAATAATTAGAAAAAAAATGATGATGCTTCAGAATGTTTGAACAGTTGTTTAATTCTCCATTGAGATCTTTGATATGTTCCACCTGCTGTATGGCGTTTCTTAGTCGGGCAGTATTGAATAATGCATACTGATCTTTGTATTAGTAAGAGATGACGACACTGTGAGCAGATGCTGTGATGGGACTCATATCTATCTATCTATCTATCTATCTATCTATCTATCTATCTATCTATCTATCTGTCTATCTATCTATCTATCTATCTATCTATCTATCTATGTGTATGGGGACACATAAGAAGCAAAGACAACCCCATATTCGTGCCCATAACACAGCTTTATTTGGAATTGACTTGGCAGCCAGAGTACAAAAGAGGAAAATTGCTCTTATTTCCAGAAGGAGGAAATGTGCTCTTTATACCTGTAGTACAGCCGTCAGAAAGACAATTTCCTCCACTACGAGATGAGTCGAATGATGGAGGCACATGCGGTGGCTTATGGTGCCATGCTAGCTAATTGTGGAGTTAAAGGCCTCCACAATCAGCATAATCAAGCCAGGGGTTCTCCACGCAAGCGGTCCTGGCAACCGACAAAGTGAGAACGTAGACTGAAACGGGGCAGACTGCCCAGATGGATGGCAAGCAATGGGTGACACTCAAGATTGGGGGCAGAAGTTAATGCCACTGGTTCTGTGTAGCGGAGTTGGGTGCTGCCCTGAATGCTACAGTTTAACCAGCAGGCCCTTGGGTATTAATGGACAGGATTCCAGTTAATACAGTGCATCAGGCAAGACAAAGTCACCCCAACACTGTTGGATTGTCCAGGCACCATGGCCACAATTGTGCCACCAGTGAGCACGGGGAGTATGTAGTTCTTAAAGCAGAAAGTAAAGGTTTTTGGTTGCATCTTTAAGTATGTGGTGTTAATGTGTAATGGGTATGTGCACTTTGGAGCAGTTCAGTAAAACAGGTACACTATGAGCTACCGTCATTCAGGTTTGAGTCCTGATTTGTAACCACCGGTGGGAGTAGAGGTTTAAAGGAGCATCCTTCCCTCTGGTGGAAATTTTCTTGCAGAGTCATTCCTAAATAAAACTGCATAATGAACATAAACTTTAAGTCTAAGTGTCTTCTGTGGGCCCCCCACACTACAATACCTTTAATTTTACTTAATGTTTGGAGGATGTGTGTTTCCTGGATCTGCTTTTTGTGTTTGTGTGTATAAATGAGCAACTGTGATTAAAAACACTTAAACACACTC